CACGTGGGCCTCGTGCCTGGTACAGACAGGGAGGTGGACAGGATGCCCGTGCGGGTGGCAGAGGGGCTTCTGTGTGAATAGGTGGGTCTCCTGGGTGTTTCTATCAAGAAAAGCTTAGCTGCCTGTGAGGATGAGGCCATAGCAATGGGCCTGGAAGGACCTGGAAGATTCTGGAATCCACTCCAAACGTTCACGCTTCCCTGTCAGGGACATAAGAGAAGAGAAATGAAGCTCCCAGCTGGTTGCCTACCCACCCTGAGCGGACAGACACCCACCCTGGTCTCGGTGAGAACCAGGACTGACGATGCTCACCGTAAGCGGAGTAGCTCTGGAGGCCGCGTGTCACTCACTTTATTCTCGCTTTCCTTGTAGTGATCTCATGCGGAAGCCTGTCCTTCCCCCCCAACGGCAACAAGATCGGGACGCTGACCGTGTACGGGGCCACGGCCATATTCACGTGCAACACGGGCTACACGCTGGTGGGGTCCCACGTGAGAGAGTGCCTGGCGAGCGGGCTGTGGAGCGGCGCCGAGACGCGGTGCCTGGGTACGTGCCCCCCCGCCCCCCGCGCCTGTTTCACTCAGTGACCTGAGGAGTAGAGGGAGGGCCCCCCACTGTGAAGGCTCGGCCAGCGGCCACTCAGCCCTGCCCGGGCTTCCGGCTGCGCTCACTGCATGACGCTCACAGGGCCGTTCTCACCTCTGACCATACATGTGACCTTCTCCCACCGCTCAGATGTGAGGAAAGTGCCCTGAGGGATGGAAACACTATTTGCAGGTCACTGGGGCTAGCCCTGTGCTCAGGATTTAGGGCGCGTGGAAATGAATTTCGAATGTGTGCCTTTAAGGATTATAAATTACGTCAACAAGTTACAGGGACGTCCTGTCACCCAGTGTGAGCACAGTGGATTGTTTAAAATGGCAGGCGTGCGCGATGACTTGGTCTTCTTTTCCCAAGATTAGAAATGTCAGCAGGATGATGTTTAAACTGAGCTGCACACCCTTCCCTGGGGAAGCCTTCCCAGTGACTGTAACCTTGTGACCATGCAGCGTGGAGTCGGGGGGCCCCGGATGCTCCCTGTGGGTCTCCGCGAGCTGAGGGGATGGGTGAGCTGCCTGCAGACCCCGTGATCTCAGTGACGTTCAGTCACGTGAGCCGCAGAGGCTGAGAGTTTGAGCCTCTGGCTGTCCGTGGCTGGGACCACGCTGGGGGCGTTGTGAACGATATAAATATGTGCTTTTCACTCCGGAGAACTTGTAGAAAGACCGGAATTGAAAGACAGGACGGAAGGAAAGTAGGTAGTGATGCCAGAGAGCAGCCACCAGAGAAAGACAGCTTCGGTGTCTGGGAAATGACACTGTCGTCTCTAATTTCCAGGCCGAGGGATTCTTGAACCCTGTGTGTGGGTCCAGACCAGGGATGGGGGCCTTTTTCCTGCCAAGGGCCACTGGGTGTTTACAACATCATTCACAGGCCATGCAAAATGACCCACATAAAAATGAGCCTGCCCTGTTGGGTCAAACGTTTAATTAACTCGTGCTTACTGCCTTGGCGGGGCCAGACCAAATGGTTTCACAGGCCTCATATGGCCAGTGGGCCAACGCTCCCCGCCCCTGGTCCATGTGTTCTTGTTGGGCCAGATGTCCCCCCCGCCCCCCGCCCCCGGTCTATGCGTTCGTGCTGGGTGCCGTCATTACAGCGCTCAGGACGGTGGCCTTCCCTGGGACTGCGTGTGGTGCCCCGCAGTCGGGATGGCCGTGGCTCTGGGATTGTCTGTGCTTTCCTACATGTTCTCATGAAATCGTCCGTTCACTGAGCAGCGCTCTCCTCAGCGCGGCCACGGGCTGGGTGGGTCTCCTCTGTCGGCTGCAGTGCCCTGGCCCGGGACGGAGAAGGGGTTCGGGGTCTAAGAAATGTGCATCTGCACTATCAGCTGTAATGATGGAGAGAAATAAAGTTCAATTCCAGCAGAGCCTTCGCTGCGGACACAACCCCCATCCATCGTCACGGTGACTAGGATGCAGGTGAGGCAGAGGCTGTGGCCTCGGGGAGTTTAAGCCACACAGTCCATTTGCAAACCTGTTAGATCGTGGCTTCCCCTCGAGTCTTATTGATCCCAAAGACCCCTTTGACTGTTTTGTTTTGTGTTTAAAATATTTTCATTGATTTCAGAGAGGAAGGGAGAGGGGGAGAGAGATAGCACATCAATGATGAGAGAGAATCATTGATCGGCTGCCTCCTACATGCCCCCCACCGGAGATTGAGCCCACAACCCAGGCATGTGCCCTGATTGGGAATGAACCTGTGACCTCCTGTTCATTGGTCAATGCTCAACCACGGAGCCACGCCGGCCGGGCTTCTCTGCCTTTCGTGGTGTCTGCCTGCAGGTTAGGCTCTGGAAGGGTGAGGAGTATATTGAGTCGTTGTCTTGACCTCAATGGGATGGACGCTACAGATCTCAGAAGCTTTGGCAGAGGGAGTGCTCAGAAGGCACTTAAACTGAAAATGAAGAGGAAGAAGAGCGCCCGTGTTGTCACGTAGAATCATCGTGTTGTGGAACTTGGACACAGCATGTAAGCGACGATAATATCGAAGGAGGCACAGGGTAGTTAAAAGACAAAAATTAGAAAGAATGAGAAGTGACACATGACCACATGTTTAGAAACCGATGAGCAAAAAGAATGGGTAATAGATTTAGTATAAATATTTTATGAATAGAAATATTTTAACAGTAAATATAGCATCACAGCGGCCGCTGAGACTGCGGCGGTAAGATTCACAATGCCACGGTGAGGGCCTTTCCAGTCTCTCCCAAACGATAGGTTGCCCGTGGGTCGGTGACCAAGTGTCACCAGCAAACACGCGCACGGAAGCAGAATGGGGAGGGCGCGCAGGTGACGTGCTGTGAGGGTGGAGAAGACTCCAAAGTGCTCAGAAGACAGAGGGAGGGAAGCTCCCATCCCAAATCTGCAGGAGAGTTGATAGAACAGAAGAGGGGCCCATGGAAGCGGGGGTCCCTGGTTCCTGGGGAGACGGGTTCTCGGGCCACGGAGCGGCCTGCGCAGAGCATTGATGTATTTGATAAATTGATTTGATTTAATATTTTGTTTCTAAGCCTGGGCTGGCCTCCTCTGGATTTCTCTTCCCCTTCATTTTCTTCCTTTCCCCACAGTCAGCAGGTTTTCTTACCCCCTTGCTCCTGTCTGTGCTCAGGGGAATGACAAGGGGCTGCACCCACGGAGCGGACGATGCGGAGCCGAGCAGGGGTGGGCCAGGCGGGAGCCAGAGATGAAGACACGCCCCCCCAGGAGATGGGGGACTTGGTCCTAGAGCCCTGGCGTCCGAGACTTTAAAAATAAATAACATTCGTCACTTCCGTGACCGGGAGGCCTCTCCCCCCGCCCCCCCCACCCGGGGCCTGGCTGGCAGCGTGTGTCCTGCAGGCCTGGGGGCGCCTCTCTCGGGGTTTCGGGCGCCGAGTGTGGCCGTGTGTCCCTCCCGCTCCATCTCATTCTCTCCATGTTAGACCCTCAGCTCCCTTTGCTCTGTGATTGCCTCTCATTCTCCATGGAATCTCCGGCCCCCAGAACATTGCTGGGCTGTGGCCGATCATCATTCCATCATTGTCGGGTAAATGGCAGTCACCTTGGAGAGAATGGCGTAGAAATGCTCGAGAACATGAAGGCCGTCACCGAGAGCGTGAAATTACTCTACGTCTGCTCCCTCCCTGGCGTTTCATGGGTGACGGGTGGGTGTCAGACATGGGCCCATGGCGTCTACGGGAGACGCAGAGCAATGCTTTCTGCGTGGGGCGTCTATAGCAAAACCAGGGCTAGAGAAAGAGTTTAAACACACACAGACCAGGACATAGCGTGACATGGTCACTGAAGAGCAGGATCTGACATGCAAGGCGGAGCTCAGAGGCATGGGGCCGCACTGCTGGCCAGGCTGTGGCCCCCCCCCCCCCCCCCCCCCGGCACTGGGCAGTCGCCGAGACGCTGGCTAATGCTGTGAGCGAGACTGTGGAAATGCTGTATCTGTGAGTAGCCTGGGCTTGGTCGAAGGCAGTGGTTTTCGCCCCGTGGCCACAAGCACGTTTATACCGTGTGACGCCTGCCTGTTTGGTAGGGCCCGGAGCTCTGCCCCGAGATTGTCAAATAGGGAAGTGACACCAGCCGGCCCCCAGCAGGCCCCGGGGTGAAGGGCTCAGAGGTGCACCTGTTTGGTTGTCAGGTCGGCAAAAGAGATGCTATTTGGAGTGCGGCAGGGTCTTAGGGATGAGTGAGGGCCGGGGTGAGGAAGTTGACAGTCACTGGTCTGAGTGTTTTAAAAGGAACGCAGCTGAGGGCTGGAGCGACACCTCAGAGACTGGTCAGGAGGCCGGCAGCGCGGCCAGGCCGGGGTCTCCGTCCCGCTCCATCCGTCCATCCGTCCGTCAGCCCCAGGAGAGCTGACACCCTGGGCCTCCTTCCCGGGCTCTGCTTTCCGCTCACCGGGATCTCCGTCTGCCCCATCCGTCCATCAGCCCCAGGAGAGTGAAACCCCTCGGGCCTCCTTCCCAGCTCCGCTCACCGCCATGGACGCGTACTGGACACCAGTCATCTTCTCACATCTCAGACCCTTCCTGTCACGGGTCTTCCCTCCCCTGACTGCTAACCTGCACCCGATTCATCTCGGGCGTCTCCTCTCCACGAGCAGGGCCACCTGCAGCCTCACCCCCTCTGGCCTTGTTTCCAGAGAATCTGCTCGGGGAGGGCACTCCCTCCCCCGGGCCCAGGGGTCACTTGTCCACTGGCCACACCCGCTGTCACCTGGACGTTGGCCCAGGCTGTCCGTGTCTGGAATGGAACCGATGTTGTGACTCTGTCTGTCCGTTGGAATCTTGCGTAACGTTTAGCAATCCCTGGCCTGGGATCCTTGTCCTCGGCCGTCTCTTTAAGGCCCGTTTTCCGTGGGTCCGAGCCTGTTCACGTGGAGCCCACGGCCCTTCCTTTCTGTGGCTGCATTTGGAAACAGAAGAACAAGGTCGCATGGACTTCAGGCAAGGACAGTGGGTAACACGACTAACTCGGAAACCCATAGTGGGGGTGACCCATTGGCAACTTCATCTCAGAGATATTACTTCTGTCGCCCACAGTTGTTGAGAAAAACGAACACGTTAAAAAGAAAACTATATCCAAGAAACATGAAAAGGGAAACGTTGAGTATATTACGCACCCGATGCTGTCATCCACTGACCATGAAGGTCAACAAACGTGAATGTAGTGCTTTTAGCAAAGACGGATTTTGGCCCGGGCCCGGCCGGTTGAACACCGACCTATGAACCAGGAGGTCACGGTTTGATTCCCGGCTGGGGCACCTGCCCGGGTTGTGGGCTTGACGCCTAGTGTGGGGTGTGCATGAGGCAGCCGATCCATGATTCTCTCTCATCATGGATGTTTCTATCTCCTTCTCCCTCTCCCTTCCTCTCTGAAATCAACACCAATATATTTAATAAATAAACAAACAAACAAATAAATGTTTAAAAGACAGAGTCTCCGGAACAGGGGTGTGGGTTTTCTCGCCCCTGCAGCCGGCCACTGCGGCTCCCCGGACCCCATCGTGAACGGCCACATCAGCGGCGACGGCTTCAGCTACAGGGACACCGTGGTGTACCAGTGCCACGCCGGCTTCCGGCTGGTGGGCACCTCCGTGCGGATATGCCTGCAGGACCACAAGTGGTCGGGACAGACCCCAGTGTGTGTGGGTGAGTTCACCAGCCCGGGCCGGCCGGCGCTGCACCGTGCCTTTTGGGTTTAAGTCAGGGCGCAGAGGTGTGTAATCTTCTGAGCGAAATGCATGGAGAAATCTCCTGAAACAGGCCATCCAGCTCTCTCTCCTCTTTGCTTCCCGATGCTGTCCCCGCTCTGTGTCCTCCCCCTGCCTCCTCGGACTCCTGTCCACAGGGTACTGGCTCCTCGGCTCCCCGGAGATGGGTCCCAGGACACTGAGGGCCATGTGCACCTCCTGACCCCACCCCCCGCGAATGTGGACTCAGAGTCTGAGCCTGCAGCTCCGGCTGCCGTTGCCGGGTCCCCACACAGCCCCACGCCCTCTATCTGTGGGGTGGTTTTGTGTGTTTGTCATCCATTCATCGAGAATACAGAGCGCAGCCCTTTCTTTAATAGAAAGAGGTGAATTGTATGTAATGATAGTCCTCAGACGTGATAACCTCACAGGTAAATATTGACTCGTACGTGTAGAAGAGATTGCACCCTCACTGCAGAGTTTGTTTTAAACCATTTTCCCCTGACATATTCTTTATTAAAGGGCATGTTGATGTAACCACAGCGAGGTGGCAGGCATTATCTGAGAGAGTGCAGAGGGTGAAAGCTTCGCTTGGAAGAAAACATTGTTGACAAGATAAATGGGGAGAAAACACCAGTTTTCGGGCTGGAACGCTGCCTTTGAAAGGCTCTTTGTGCTCCTGTGACTTGGGGCCTGACGTAATGACAGCTCTCTGCAGCCCACAGAACCACACAATGGGCTGGTCAGAGACAACGCTATTGGAGCTTTCACACTTTTCTCTCTTTGTTCTTTTTTGGCCAATTTCATGATGTTTAAATTGATATTGGGTTAATTTATCCATACACAATTTAAAGCATCAGACAAGTCCCTATAATGTTTCAAAATCAGAGTTGCACCAAATTAGCTGGTGTTCAAAGGGGAAAACAGTCAAAACTCACACTGAGTGCAAGAATTTTAGCTTCTCGTGTTTTCACTGCCGCCTTTGAAAATTACTTGTTATGCTGTCAGAATGTGAGCTAGAAATAATAATTACTATGATTGTGGAAAAGGTACATTTTTCTGATGTGGTTTCCAGAATTACTGTAATAAAACCTGAGGGCTCAGCCCGCAGGGTTGTCCCAATATTTCCTTCTGATATAATGTGGGACGTGTGGCATCAGTTCACACCTTGGAATCCACACCCTCCACTCCTGCATGTGTGTCAGTGACGGGATGACTTGCTGGTTGGTGATGGTGACGGGGACCTGTCTCCCTCTACAGCCATCACCTGCGGGCACCCTGGGAACCCTGCCCACGGGCTCACCAACGGCAGCCAGTTCAACCTGAATGACGTGGTGAACTTCACGTGCAACACCGGCTACATGCTGCAGGGTGCGCCGCAGGCCCAGTGTCGGAGCAACGGCCAGTGGAGCAGCCCCCTGCCCACCTGTCGAGGTAGGAAATGGGGGGAGCCTGCCCTGGAGGTGCAGAAGGGCTTCCAGTCGCTGGAGACGCTCCTGAGAGCAAGGACCAGGTCCCTCCCAGCCTGTGTCTGGCTGTGGGACAGGCAGGCAACCAGAAAAAAACCTGGGGTTCTCTACTTTAAGGACAACGCACCTCCCATTTCTCTTCATATTCATGTGCTCACCCACTTGCCGCTACCACATCTTTTCAGCACCTCTGTGCCCTCAGGCTTCTAGACGTATGGGGCGTTTCTGTTTCTTTAAGAAATTCTTCTTGCTTTTAAATCTTCATTTCTCTAAAAATTGTCACAAAGATCTAGGCGACAGTCTGAGTTTCCGAGCACATGCTGTTTTGTAGTTTTGTGTTTCTAGACGTTTGAGCTCATAACATTGAAGGTTTCAACTTCAGTTACTTCCCATTAAAACACCTCTGATGGAAGGTGAGTCATACGTGAGCTGGAAGGTGCAGTTTGTTTCATGGTAGTGACAGGGGATGAAAGCCGGGGGCTCATGAACTATCCTTGACACCCACCCACCTCCCCCAGGGCTCCCAAGGGAGCTTTGTTCAAAGGAGACGAAGCAGAAAGGGAGCCCAGCGATGTTATTATAGTGGCAGCCGTGTGACGTTGGCTCTGAGCCATGGAGTTCTGGCACCAGTGTACCGCCCAGTGCTTGGCTTCAGCTCAGAGACCAGGTACAGCCTCCCAACCCCACGGCCCAGGAAGCAGGCTGCCAGGGACAGGATGTCCAGGGAGGAAGCAGAGGCACCGGTGAAACTTGGGCACTCACTGACACAGCCCAGAGCAGAGGGGGCGCCCTCGGGTGACAGGGAAGAGCTTGACGCAGCCAAACCTGCCACTGTCCTGAGGGCAGCGTTTCCGGCTGTGGCATCAGTGCCCGGCCAGCCAGCACCCAGGGAGAACTTACTGTTTAAAACAAGGGAAAAGGTGACTTTCCCTCCCAAACTACAGCCTTTCTTCTTCCTGTTCCTCATTTCTTCTTCTGTGTCCCTGAGCATTAAGGAACACGGGCCTAATGTGCTGATCGAGGGCTCACATTGTTTTTCCACATTGACTTTCCGGGCCAGAGATCTGTGGAGAGGGTGCCGCCTCCACAGCAGCAGCTGCCTCATCCATACCAGGCGGGGTCAGAGGGCGAGATAATCGGGGGACTTTCTGTTCCCCTGCACCTGTGGGTGCACATTGCACATCCCTCCCGATGCCAGCAGATTCAGGCTGTCAGAGAGCCATTCACACCCACCAGGGTGCCATTCACACCACCTAAGGCACCATTCACACACCCCAGAGCTCCATTCACACCACTCAGCATGCCATTCACACTAACCAGGGCGCCATTCACACTCCACAGGGCTCCATTCACACCACCCTCATTCACACTCCACAGGGCTCCATTCACACCACCCAGCATGCCATTTACACACCCTAGGGCACCATTCACATTCCACAGAGCTCCATTCACACAACCCACAGTGCCATTCACACTCCACAGAGCTCCATTCAAACCACCCAGGATACCAGTCACACACCCCAGGGCACCATTCACACTAACGAGGGCACCATTCACACTCCACAAAGCTCCATTCACCACCCAGCATGCCATTCATACCACCCAGGGTGCCATTCACACTCCCCGGAGTCCCATCCTCACTGCCCAGAGCGCCATTCACATTAGGCACATGTGGAAGCACTCCTATGTGCGGGTGGGGTAATTAATTACTTACAAAGACTGCCCTAAAGCATCACACTTGGTGGGAGGAAATATTTAAATAAACGAACTTTTGCAGGTTCTGTACTAACATCTTCATAACATAAACTTAACCACGAAAACCGATCCTAGACTTTCCGTTGAAGAAGCCTGTTATTGAGAAATAGGCCAAGGAAATGAGCCGTGGATTTCATTGAGGGAGGAGAATTGCAGGAAGGGCCCTGGCCCTGCTGGCGTCATCTTTGAACTTTCTGAAACGACGGCGAGTTTCCTTCTCTTCACACCTGTTTTGTGTATGAACGCGCAGCCGCCTCTGGGCATGGGAGGAGGTCCTGCTCTCCGCGTCTCTCAGGCTCCTCTCATCTCTCTCCAGTGGTCAACTGCTCGGACCCTGGCTCCGTGGACAACGCCGTCCGCCGGAGCGTCCCCGAGAGCCTCGTCTACGGGCGGACTGTCGTCTACCACTGCAAGAAGGGCTTTTACCTGCTCGGCTCGTCTGCCTTGACCTGCACGGCCAGTGGCTTGTGGGACCGCTCCCTCCCCAAGTGCTTGGGTACGTGAGGGTGATGTGGGGTGCTGGTGCCACAGAATCCGGGAAGAACGTCAACAGCACAAACGTTATTGTTTCTTTTTGTCACGTAGTCAAATAGGTCTTGATTTTTCACTCTCTCTACCCCCCAAGTCCCCAGGCACAAGTTGTACTAGTCAGTAGGATGTCTTACCGATGGGCAGGAGGTCACACACTACAGCTCAAGCTGGGTTAGGGGGATAAGGGTGAGGATGCTGGCTGCTCACCGCCTGGCCCTGGGGGGAAATGGACACAGAAATGGACCCACTGGGCCTTGTTGTCCTCATCTCTGTTCACACTGCTCGTCTCCTGCTTCACCCCAGCGGACACGGTCAGACCTGGTGGCCTCGATGCCCTCCGCCTCTCACTGCTCTCCGCGGAGACCCAGGGTCAGGAATATTGGCCGAGGTCTGGTACGGAGGGTCCGGCTAGTGACCTCCTGCCTGTGACCAGGGGGGCAGTGACTCTAGGGACTGACTCGGGTCTCATGAGCATCTCTGGTCCAGTCAATAGTCAACACAATAGGACAGGTGGTCCCTGCGACAGTCCCTCCCCCTGACCCACCTGGGTGTCTAAATCGGGGGGAGCACACCGCTCTGAAGAAGGGGAACACAAACCAAAAGGTAGGTTCCCCACTCTAGCCCCCCGGAAACACGATGGTCACTTTACCTTAGACCACGCAGATGAACAAAAGCACTGTTTAACCTACATAGCTCCAGTTTTACCTCCTTCTCCCTGAGCAAGCACATTGTCCTCGAGCTGAACGAGGATCGCCTGGTTAGAACATGGTCTGAAAATTAGGAAAAGGGGCAGTTCTCCCTGGGTTTTAAAACTCAGTCCAATGAGTAGCCTGTCTTCCTCGTGTTCATTCGTCAGCATGGGCATGGACACAGCGGGAGCAGCGTTATGAGCTGCATCGGGGGACGCGGCCGCGGAGGGCCTCTTACCACTTGCAACAGCAGCGTTTCCTGCGTGTCCAGATGGATCGGGGCTGGGGTTTCCCTGCAAGTCAGCGTCCCACGCAGCCCCTTCCGATCCACGTGGGCACGCGTCCCCGGTTCCTGCTGTGGCCAAAGGGTCGGTTTCCAGGAGAAAGAGAGGGGTCGCTGGAACACAAAGGCACGGCCTCACGTGACCAATGCCCTTCAGTGTCACCGTGTCAGCATCTCCACCCAATGGTGTCCGCTTTCTCCGCCTCCACACCGGGGTTTGGGCAGAGAAGGTCATGTCTTTCCTTCTCCTCCCGAGCATCCCTTGAGCTCTCCATGGCTCCCGGGGGACGCCCTGTGTCCGTACCGATGCCTGTGGCCCCGCAGCTGCAGGAACCAGGTTCTCCCCGATTCTGGGCCTCCGGGGGCTGCTTCCCGCCTGTGCAGTCGGGAGCATGGGAACCCCCGTGGGTGTGGGGCAAGGTACGGAGAGCCCCCTGCCTTTCCACGCTCCGCGGCAGCGAGGTTCTACTGGCCTCCTTGCCTTGATTCTTTTTCTCTCTTATTCACCGGGAACTGGTCCTTTAGTGACCATGTCACTGATTCGGGTCAAATTAGCTTCTTTTCAGGACACTCTCTAGATCAAACTGTGTTCTTCAACCAAAGGCCGTGTTGTTGGCCCATGACAGCAGCCAGGGTCCATCCGGGGCCGACGTGACCGGCTGACCAATGCCTCGTGGCTGACTGACCGATGCCTCCCGCTGGGCGTCACGTCGGGCTGCCCGTGGCCACAGGCAGTCCCTCTCGTGGCTGTCAGTGTCTTTGAATGCTGTGCCCAGAGCTGACTGCAGGCAGCATGCAATGTGTCCATTGTGCACCCCACTGGGACTTGATCGAAAGGGAGAGAGAAATCCCTATCATCCCGTCTTTATCTGGCATCCAGAATATGGCTTTCTGAGGGAGAATTAATGAATAATTATGGGCCTGATTTGGTGTAATTGTAGAAAGTGAATGAGAATACTGACATTATTTTACAGAATAACTTGAAGAACAAATCAATCGGTAATTTATTATTATTACTTTACTTAAACATGTTATTTTATTATTTTGTTGTTGTTGTTGTTGTTAATCCTCAGCAAAGGATATTTCCAATGCTTTTCAGACAGAGTGGGAAGGAGAGGGGGAGGAGGAAGTAAGCCAGAGAGAGAAACATTGATGTGAAAGGGACACATTGACTGGTTGCCTCCCACACCTGCCCAACTGGGGGCGGGAGCGAGCCCACAACCCAGGTGCGTATCCTTACTGGGAATCGAACCCAAGACCCAGCACTCTAACCACTGAGAGTACTGTCCAGGGCCAACTTAAACCTTTTAGACCCTCCCCACTCCAAGGGCAGGTGTTGGGGTGCCTTCCTGGACTCGAGAGCTCGGGGGGAGCACATTCGAGGTCTTTCCCGCCCGCAGATGGTCACCTGCCTGAGACCCCAGGGAAGCAGCTCGGAGGGAGCCACACTGGCCACAATGTGTGGGATAGCCCTGCTGGTGTGGGAAGCCGTGAAGGGCCGATGGGAAGTGTGACCTGGGGGGACCCTCCTTCTGAAAACCTAAGTGTGAATGTGCACCCCAAGCACAGCGACCCCAATCTAAGATTCCAAAACCCTCACCGACGAGCCTTTCCTGGTGTCCGCAGCCTCTGCCCTGGGGAGGGGAGTGAGTGTAGGAACCGCGTGCTCTCGAGTGCAGGGACGAGCAGGGAGGTGCCCATCATTTCATTCATCTTCCTCAGCCATATCCTGTGGGCACCCGGGCGTGCCCGCCAACGCCATCCTCACGGGGGACGTGTTCACGTTCGGGGCCACGGTCCACTACTCCTGCCAAGGGGCCCGCAGCCTGGTGGGCGACCACAGCCGCGTGTGCCAGGAGGACGGCCACTGGGGCGGGGCCCTGCCCCACTGCACAGGTGAGCGCCGGTGGCGGGAACTCGGGGTCGGAGCAGCTGCTTTAGAAGGATGGTTAGTGGGTGTCCAGCCAACGACGCCTTCATTCTGTACCAGCCCCATGTTCTTCCCCGTCTCCATGAGCGCCCAGGGGCCCGCCGTCCTGT